TAAAATTTTAACAAATAAACAACTTTCTTCAACTCCTGTCTGCCTCCTCTGTTTCGACGCGGCGCATCAGTGGTGGAGCATTTGAGAGATTTCCATGGCGAGGTCCAGGCACTCCGTGACCGGGAAGCAGACGTCGCAGCCGGCGCAGTCGCACAGGAAGCGGCGCGCGCCGGCACACGAGCACGGACCGCAGGTCCGGGTGAACTCCAGGAGAGACCGCAGGGCGCCGGGCTCGCAGCCGAACAGCGACGAGCACAGCCAGCAGAAGCACACGGTGCACCCTCGGAAGGTCTCCGTTAGACAGTCCACGGGCCGGCAGAAGAGGCAGCCCAGCAGGATGGCAGCACACAGGTCTCGAGATGAGGAAGACAAAGTTAAAAGTGAAACACGAGCTAAAAGAAAATTGTGCAAATTGAGCCACCAACATTTGATTAAACATAAAACTTAAGGTGGCCTATGACTTATTCAGCAGTTGGCGGCTAGGAGTGTATTTTCCATGTTGGTAATCTATAATACTGTTTTTCAACAGTGATGCCGCTAGGGGGCACTGTGTGGGCATCAGAAAGTTGGAGGGTAAGAGAAAAAACTTGCAAAAATAAAAAATATTAAACTTTATAAAGTTTTTTAGCTTACATTTTTTTTATCATAATTTAATTTTAAATAAAATATAAGTTAAAATAGTTCATTTCTATGTTATTTTTGACTGGTATTAAGCTAACCAAAGAAATGGAAAAGTTCCTGAGAAATAATAGGCCAAAGGAACCGTCCAGCTGCCATGCTATGGAGGATCCTAAAGCAAATAACCATAAGAACTGTGGAAATAAAATAAAATTTGATGTGATTAATATAAAATATTACACATTTTCTTATAATCAAATACCAACAAAAAAATATTTGCAAAAAAACACCCAGCTACCTTACCACTTCCACCTGGCTCGGTGTTAGCTGACGAGGTTTTCAGGCTGTCTTGAACTCTGGTTTTGGTCAGTGTTTGGCTCACATCAGGGAGTTTGCGGATCTCCTTGAAGGGTGGCAGCAGGGAATGTAAAGGTTTCGGCTGGTGTCCCTCCACAGAACATGGGCTGCAGACGTACACAGCTGTGGTCAATCCACTCTTGAAGTGAATCTGCACATCATGTTCCACTGTAGTCTCCTCTGTGTAAAAGAACAAAACTAACAATAAGCAGCAGAAAGGCCTAGCCATAAACCATAATGATGATCTTACTTCTTGTCTGATTTGGTGATGCAATCACAGAGACTTCAGGTGAAGACAGCTCCATGTCCTCAGTGGAAATGTGTCCTGACATACTGTTGACTTCAGTAAAAGATCCTGGAAGACGAAACATCGTTGTTCCATTTCTCTCTGTAAAGTTTTGTCACATGCTCCTGTTAAACGTACCCGTTCGATCCGCAGCTTCCGCGTCCGACTCTGACGACATGGTTTGTGAATACCGGGACTTCAGTATTTCGTCATATTCTTCCTTCCCGTCTCCAGTCATCCCTCTGAAAATCTGCTTGTCATCCATTGAAACGTTCAGTCTGAGAAACAATCTGCCTTGCTCTGTTAAAGAGGAACAAGGGAGTGGAAAGTGTAAAAATGTTTACACTTTATTCATGTGTTTTATTGGGATTTTAAATGAAAACTGAGCTGTTAGCATCAAAAGAGTGTTAAAAAGAAGCGATCTTAAGTCAGAGGTCTCTTGACATTAGTAGCAAGACTACTACTGGAATTAGTTCCTGCCTAAAGCATCCACGATGACTCTTTGAAAATACTTAGATAATGTGAGTTACAACTGCATTTAATTCCCCTCTAGAACAAACAAAGGCCCAGGCCTGTTTTTGAATTAAAATTTGAGAACTAAAGCCAAAAGTCTTGGCAAACCTTTGAAGTACATATATTATTTGCTGCTAAAATTCTAATAAAACACTGATAAAAATCTGGTACTAATATAACAAAATGTAAAAAATAAAAAAGTAGGCATGAATATTGTTGTAAGGCACCTTAAATTTGTAACCACCGGATACACAAAGAAACGAGATGTCTGCATTGAACGTGTCACGTAAGATTAATATTTTAGTTCCATCCTGCAAGTTAAATTAAGGAATCTGACAAAAGGAGAATAAAGATCTCATCACGCCGCTGAGTCTAGGTCAAACGACGGAGACCATACATCAGATCAATAGCTGAGGTTTCTCAGCTGTTAGTGATGAGTAGACAACTTGCAAATGGCATTGAAGTTAATCTATTATTCATCTCCATTTTGCCCACATTTAAGAAGTAGATGAATTAGAGCACACGGACATCCTGACAGCTCTGTGAGTGAGTTGGGCTCCTGTTCTCTTTGTGTACATCGCCGGTCATGTACGCAAAGAATAATCCAATATTTCATGTGGAAATATCGGATGTTTTTCTGCTCACAATCTGACGTCCATAAGGCATGCTATGCTGTATTGTATAGATTGTGTCAAGCTAAACTGTAACCCTAGCCCTGACCTCAGTCTCTTGAGGCTAAGATTCACAGCCTCAAGAGACTAACATTCATTGATTCAGATCAGCCCACAATGTGCTGTTTATCCGTCTGTTTTGCTGCCTGTCGGAGGTTCGTAGGGAATAAATTGTACTTACAACCGTTTCCTCAAAAGAAGACATTCCAGGGTGAAGCCACAACTTCACAGTAAAGCCTCTCTTCTTCCCCCCCCCTCCTTTCTCTCTCATCCGTCCGCTCTCTCTTGCTCTCTTAAACACACACATACACAGTCTAGGCATACACAAATTTCTTTAGTAACTACTCATTTCAAAAAAAAATTTTTTTTACGCTTTTTTTTAATAAATAGAAGATTTTTGCAAGCACAAAGGATATTAAAAAGGCGTTGGAGAAATTATTTCTCTTTAGTTCAAACACATTGATTTTTATTTTTGTGACAAACTTATTCACTCTCAAATTCCTTCTGTTTGTTGTTGTCACTGTCACATTTTTCAGATCATCAAATGCATTTCAACATAGATAATATGAGTAAAAATCTAATTTAGTTTTCAAATGATCGTTTCTCTGATTAAATAAATAAACCTGTCTTTTACATCTCTCTGGCGGAAGTTTAGTTCACTCTTCTCTTCAAAGTTACCTTAACTCAGTTAAAAATGACTCCACACGATCTCAAATTTAGATTTATTTCCTAATTTTGATTCCATCGCCTCCTTTCCTTCGTTTAGCTGCTCCAAGCTCGACTTGCTGGTGTGCTCCCAATAATTTCCTGCTTCCCGTTGTGTTTGAACTGTGATGAACTGATGATTGGTTCATTTTGGGAGAGAACAGAATTTACTGTTCCAATATTTATGGCAAATTGAAGAAGCAAAAGAGACCCTGTTGGCCATGTTTAACTCTTTGTATGATATATATATATATATATATATATATATATATATATATATATATATATATATATTTTTTTTTTTTTTCCTTTTGGGAAACGTGAGATTTAGACTTAGAAATATATTTTTGTAACACTTTCTTTTAACTCTAGAGACTTTGTTTCTACTCTCTGAATAAATTTTTTTTAGACAAGGGGTGTGATGTCTTGACTTTTGAGGGGGGGGGTTTTTAGCCTATTTTATGTTGTCAGATGGTACAAAATAATATTAGGGTTACCGTGGAGAAAAAAAATATAAAATTTAATTTTAGAATTCTAAGAAAAGCATCAGAATTTTTTCAACAGATGATGATGAATAGAGTCCAGTAATTTCATTTAGAAGTGCACTTCCAGCAGATGGCAGTACTTTAGGACTGGTTGCTTATCAACTCCCATAGAAAAAGAATGCTTTTCCATTGGTATCAGAGACAGTAGAATATGAAACAGAGAATCTGTGAAAATTCATCTGGCTCTGCTACAGTCCAGAAACAACCAATCAGAACCAAAAGGCAAACTTTTGGTTCTGACTGGTTTCTAATACGTTGAATGTATCTCAGCACATTAAGCACATTATACTGGTGTACTGCAGCTGTGGAATTGGCAGAAATACAAGCTAACATTGTATCATCATTGTTTATTTATAGAATGATTTAGAAAACAAAATGCTGTACAGGTTTGTCAGAACTATTTCAACCCATGTCAGAACTATTTCAACCCATATTAGAACTTTGCATTGATTTCCCTTCATTTTAGTAGCTGCATTTTTGCCTAACCCAGACATTTTCCCTAAGGCGAACCAAGTCTATTCCTAACCCTAACCTTAACTAAAACTTTATTCGCATCTTACCTCTAAACGTTACCCCTGACCCAAAGCATCATATTAGGACCGGGCTTTGGTCCTAATATGATGGACATAATGTGACACCGGACATAAAATGGTGCGTTCACACCAAATGCGTTTTGAGCCTCAGGCACATCTGGTTTGCATTCAGAGTCTATGTGGAGGCGCTTCCAGGGCTATTCTGGCGCGATTTGAACTCTTTGGTGCGTTTGACGCATCTAGGGCATCCAACAATCCACATAGCCCTCACAGAAAATGACGGGTCACAGATTTTGATGCAACACGTGTTGATTTGCAGAATCACTCAGCAACGGAGAACCTCGAGGTTCTGGTTCTGATGGACTAAATAAACCAAGATATTTTATTTTGTCTTAAAGAAATTTATTGCTGGCCCAAACATAATGATAAAACACACTTGCTGCAGCCACTTCATGAACTTTACAATTTTTTAAAATTCAAATGAAAAATCAAATTCACATCACACCAAGCTAATATTATGTAGTCCTGCTGTTTTATACTGTCGGCACAAACCTGCAGCTCAGAACGTCCCTGCTTTTATCTTCTTTATTACTGTCAGCTCTTCAGAGAAACGAGCTGCTAGCAGTGCTGCTAATTCACGTTCATTCCGTTACAAAACTTAACGCTGTGTTCCTGTCGCTCCCCGTAATTAAGCTCATAATTACGATCCTCTGTACTGAGCAGCTCTCTGATAGGAGACGGCATGTCCGCAAACAAGTTGTACTAAATATTGTACAATAACCGAAAAGAGAGATGTAACTTCTATCATGAATATAGATTAGCCAAAATCCTACAAATTACAATGAAATACTGCTACTTCCGGTGGGCGCCGGAAGTAAGACCCATAAGCGTTTCCCCAGTAAGTCGTATGCCTCCCAGGAATGGGAACCGCCAAAAAAAAAGAAGATGAATGTTTTATGAGCGATTCAGAGAAACAAGTTAATTAGGAACCTTAGTAATATGAAAATTAAATTTGATATTGTTGATTTACTGCAAAATGACTCAGGAAGCAGAGGATATCAGGCTATATTTGATTCTTTGAAACAGTGTAAATTGTATAATAGGATATAGTTTTTTTTGTCATGTGGTTCACACTCCTTACCAGTTGGTGGCGGTAATGCTCACCTAACGTTTCTTGCCGACCGCCAATAAATGTCAAGAAGAAGAAGAATGTTTTAGGAGAATTAACGAGCGCAGCCGAATTCGTCCGAAGTCATATCCGTGTGTACAGTTAGCATAATGTTAGCTAAAGAAACGACGCTCCTTAGTTCCTTGTGACATTAATTTCATTGTTGTTGGTTGCTGCTCCGCGGAAGTCTGCGTGACTACACAAAATGGTCAGTATGCAAACAGTAATTTATTTATGACCGAGCGTGTGTTCTGGAGACCGAGAATGGGTAGTTTGTCTGGGCCCAGTCGGTAACACAGCCGTTTACTTTGCACGGGAGTCTGAAAATGTTATACGTGGATAAATAATTGCCATGCTGTAACCGATAAATAATAACGAAAATGGTCATTTTATTTGGAATTCTAACTATACCATCAAGTTACCCTAACAACTTTTATTGTTTGTACGAATTTAGCTTATGCTAACTTTAGCCTGCACAGTGTAGGTGTGTTTGTGTAAACAAAGCATCTTATTGGGATGTTTTCCTCTCACACGGAACTCCAGTAAGTTCACAGACTCCTTCTTCTTAAAAACTACAAACAGGGATTAGCATACACCTTAAAATGTCCTGGTTCTGCTGGCTTTTTATGCACATTAACACTTTCAAGAACTGGAACTTAGAACTTAATTAGAAATAGAAAGTACGTCCTCTTTCAAATCTAGGAGTTTACATTTCAGAATATAATAAAAAATTATGTCCTTAGAAAAAAATTTAATAAGTAGGAACAAAATGGCTGAAAAACAGTCCACTTAAAACCCAGCTTTTTCAATTTGGCTTTTACCGTCAAAAACCAGAACTAGAGTTGAACATGAGGCTCTTGGGTATTTTTATTTTTTTTTAAAACTATTTTGACTCCTGAAAAGATTAACATCTTCCTTAAATATCCACTTGTGAATAAACTTCCTCACTTTTTGAAAATCATAGCCTTGAAATAGTCTTGTTATCCGTCACAGATTGATGTGCAGCATCTGTCACTACTCTAAAGTCATCGCTGATCACTTGCCTTCTTGGCACCTTCATTGCAGATACCCTCTACACTTTAAGCTAATGTGACAGAACAGTTTTCCCACCGTTCTGCTCTAACCCTGCGTGTCGTTTCATATTTCAGGACAGCGAGCTGTCGGACCTGGACACTGCACTGGGCCCCGAGAGCAGCAGCATGGAGGGGGAAAACGCTCCGCTTTACTGCATTTGTCGAAAGCCAGACATCAACTGCTTCATGATGTAAGCTCACAATTCAATTCAAGTTTATTCAATCAAGGACAGCACTGTAAACAACGTTACATGATTTAAAAAACGGCTCGAATGTTTTTTTTTTAACGAAGGTTTTCTAACCACAGGCTAATTTGCAAACCCAGTCCTGTTTTAAAAGAAACCAGTGATGCTGTTGTACTTGGAAACATAGATTCATGCCGTGACATTCTTGTTTGCAGCGGCTGTGACAATTGCAACGAGTGGTTCCACGGGCACTGCATCAGCATCACGGAGAAGATGGCCAAGGCCATCCAGGAGTGGTACTGCATGAGCTGCAGAGGTCGGCGCTTTTAATTTTCAGTTGCAGTTTTTTCCTCCTTTAAAAAACAAAACATGTATTTCTTATTTTAATTTTTTATTTCCTTTTCATTTTGATATTTTCTGGCCGAAAAAAAAAAAGACGAGAACCCACTGCTGGAAGTCAAATACAGGTCCAAGAAGAGCCGAGAGAAGGAGCCGGACTCGGACAGAACCGAGCGGCAGTACAGCACGCCGAGCACTCCGGACTACAAAAGCGACAGACGGCGCGGATCTAAAGTAGGTCGCAACCGTTGCGCTTGGAAACGACAAAACTCCCTCCGTTCGCAGGAGCTGAGCCGTGTTTGTTCCCCCTCGGACGTTTCGGTCTCCAGGTGAAGCGGTCGGTGCGCATGTGCGGGGAATGCGAGCCGTGCAGACGGACCGAGGACTGCGCCCAGTGCGACTTCTGCAAGGACATGAAGAAGTTCGGAGGGCCCAATAAGATCAGACAGAAGTGCCGCTTCAGGCAGTGCGAGGTTCGAGCCAGGGTGAGTCGTTCTCAGGGTTCAGGCTGCTTCAAGTCCCGGATTGTTCTTGAATTTCAATTAGGTGTTTTTTTTTTTTTTTTTTTTTTTGTCTTCCCAAGGTTTGGAAAGTGCTTCATTTCTGTGTAACGTTCTTGACAATCAAACCGCACACAGTTTTGTAATAAAGCACAATCTAATGTTTGATTTAAAACATTTAGAAAGTGTTATTTAGTTAAAAGATAATAAAAGGATAAATGCGTATCTTCTTTCCTCACATTTTGACGCAAAATCAGTCTAAACTTTGCCTGTTGTAGGTCAGTTAGAATTACCAAAATAATTTCTACTTGCTAAGAAGAAAACTTTGAACATTTTTTTTTCTAACTTTCTCAGACCTGTCGGGTGTGTGTGTGTGTGTGTGTGTGAGCTATTTTAAAACAACATTTTCTTATGTTTTAATTTATCTTGTTCCTGCTGTAGATTGTAGAACAGCTTCACAACATATTATAAATAACAGTGATCAACAGGTCTGTCACAGTAAATCAATTACTGGCGCAATGAATTAAAACAAAATCAATATTTTCCATTTGGATGATTTATTGTTTTGCTCTCTTTCTACCAGAAACTGGACAGAAAGTCTTCAGTATAGCCATTTTTTTGAAGGATGATTTTGCTTACAGAGACTTCATCATTCATCTTCTTTGTTGTTTTCTTTATTAATATTGGATATTTAAAATGTCCTCCACTTCCAGTGTTAAATGTTTATTAGAATTTAAAGATTATTGATCTCGTTTTCTTGTGTTGTTATTAAGCCATTAGCATTCAGTTACTTGAAAATGGTCTCAAAGCAACGATATTATCGTTTATCGCAAAAACTTGTGGGACAATTTATCGTCCAGCTAAATTTGTTGTTGTGACAGGCCTGTGTAATAAATGATATGAAAACAGCGAACTGAAACTGTTTTCTTTAGTTCATCTATATTGTTTTTAATCTCTAAAGTGTGCAAGTGCTGGAAAAGTTTTGAAGACTTACCTTGAAAATGCTTGAATTTGCCGATCGACAGAAACTGTACTCTAGAAATTGTTTTTTTTTTCCCCTCAGAAAATGCTGCGTGTGAAGGAGGAGGAGCTCTCCCTGCGCGAGAGGAGGGAGAACTTCCACCACAGAAGAAGACGGTACTCCGAGGACTACGACAGCGAGGCGGAGCTCTACCAGCAGTACAGGGCGGCGGGACTCGGTGGTGACCTGGTGAGTCGGCTTCATTTAAACCCGCCGCTCATTCTGGATTTCTGGAACTCATCGGATTCGCCCCCGCAGGCGTGGGGGAGCGACGACGACGACGAAGAGCCGGCCTTCAGCCCCGTCATGCGGAAGAAAGCCATCAAGGTGAAGCACGTCAAGAGGCGGGAAAAGAAGATTGAGAAAAAGGTGAGTCTCCCTTCGTGCGAGACGACGATGTTGTCGAGCCGCGCTTCCTTTGACGCGTCTCCCTCCGACTGTTCAGAAAGAGTCGCGGCGCCACAAGCAGAAGCAGAAGCACAGGGACAAGAACCGGCACAGCGACCGGGGGGACCTGCGGGACAGCGGGGGGATGCGTCAGTGTCTGGGGCCCAACTGTGTGAAAGGAGCCAGGCCCAACTCCAAGTACTGCTCCGAGGACTGCGGCATGAAGCTGGCAGCCAAGTAACGCCTCCTACACACCGCCATGTTGATTTGGGGCTTGCAAAAGTTTTCACATCCCATGATTTGTTTTTGTTGTTTGTTTTCATCACATTAGAACAGCAAACTTGTGTATGTTGCATTTGGGTTTTTTTGTGTGACACAAAGTAACGCATACAGTTGAAAGGAGAAGTGAACCGATTACCAGTTTCTGGCCGATTACTGATTCTTAAAAAAAAAAAGCTTGAAATGCAGATTCTAATATATTTATTTACCTGAAAAGTTGCTAAATATAGCGACAGAGTTGATAAGTTGGCAATATAATTATCTGCCAACTTCCCAAAATTAATGAAATTTGTGCTGATTTATTGCCACACCCCTAATTTAAAACCAGAACATTAGATGAATAGAATCGGTCCACTGATTTTTCCTTTATATATACATATATTTATATACATAATTTTTTTTCATATGAAGCTGAAGTTGCTGAATAACAAAGTCCTCTGTTGACATAGATAATATCGGTTTCGCATATATCGACCGATTGCCCAAAATGAAGGATACTGGGGCCGATTTATCATTGCACCCATAGAAGAAATAATTTTTGTCTGGCTATATGCGAGTAATATAGCAAAATTTATCTTTTATTTTATTTCTGAGGATAAGATCAGAATGTCAACTTTTTTCTCCATAATTGCTATAATTTAAGCTTCTTTTTTTCTTCTTCTTTGTTTTTCTCCCCCGACCTGCAGCCGGATCTACGAGATCCTCCCTCAGCGGATCCAGCAGTGGCAGCAGAGTCCCTGCATCGCCGAGGAGCACGGCAAGAAGCAACTGGAGCGCATCCGCCGGGACCAGCAGAACGCCCGGCTCCGCCTCACCGACATGGAGCGGCGCTTCCACGAGCTGGAGGGCATCATCTCCAAGGCCAAGCAGCAGGCGGTTCAGCAGGACGAGGAGGTGACAGCCCAGTTCTCCCCTCCTTTTTTCTTTGCTACGTATTTTTGAAGAAGTAAAAAAAAACAATAACAGAGGTGCGGCTGTTATGTAGGTGAACGAAGGTGAGAGCGACGACACAGATCTCCAGATTTTCTGCGTGTCCTGCGGTCATCCCATTAATCCGAAAGTGGCGCTGAGACACATGGAGAGATGCTATGCCAAGGTGATTCCGCCTCTTCAAAGCTAGAATGTGATTCGAGTGGCACGCAGGCATTTTTACTTCTAAACATCCGTTTCTGAAACGATTCCTCTCAACAGTACGAGAGCCAGACGTCCTTTGGTTCCATGTATCCAACAAGAATAGAGGGGTAAGAGTGGAAGGATGCTTCAGAGTTTCAGCAAAGAATTTAGCGTTTTTGGACCACACCATTTATTTTTATTCATTTCCTCCTCAGTGCCACCAGACTCTTCTGTGACGTGTACAACCCCCAGAGCAAGACCTACTGCAAGAGGCTGCAGGTTCTGTGTCCAGAACATTCCAGAGATCCAAAGGTGTGTGAGCCTCCATCGATCGGCTGTGGAAATGTTTCCACGCTTCTCTACTGAACCGTATTCGGTGCTGGGCACGCTTCCGCTGATGGGCTAACAGCAGAGCTCATTTTTCTTTTAGCTCTTTTAGCATTCTTGCTATAGAACAAGATATAAAGATAAGTTATAGAATATGTAAATTATATCAAAATTAAATTGGAGCTTAAGGGTTGTAGTCTTTCAAGTGCAGATGTAATTTGAATTGAAGTTAGCATTTACGCATTAGCTTGCGCTAACATTATGGTGTAGAACTTTAGCATTAGCTTCCACGGAATACTGTGTTCAGGTAGTGCTTGAGCTTTAGCTTCCACTAAGCGTGATAGTGTAGTTCTTCAGCGTCAGCATTGACTAGTGCTTTGGTGTTTGCTTCTGCAAATACCAAGAGGGTGTAGCGCTTTAGCATTAGCTTCTGCTAAATATTATGATGGGGTAGTTCTTTAGCTTCTGCTAAATACTGTGGTGCTGTAGCAATTTAGCTTCTGCTAAATACCATGATGGTGTAATTCTTTGACTTTAGTGAAACTAATGTTTAGTGTTTTAGGGTGTAACTTTTTAGTTAATGATGCCCACCACTGACCATATATAATATGTGAATATTGTGATTGTTTTTCTTCTGCTTGCCCTCCAGGTGCCGGTGGATGAGGTGTGCGGCTGCCCTCTTGTGAAGAACGTGTTTGAGCCGACAGGAGATTACTGCAGGGTGTCCAAAAGGAAATGCAACAAACATTACAACTGGGAAAAGCTGAGGAGAGCTGAGGTGGACTTGGAGCGGGTCAGAGTGGTAAGACGATCTTGAGGCACTTTGTTGCCATGGAAGCTGCAACAGCTAAAAGTCTTGGCAGGTTTTAATGACCTCTCCTCTTTCTGTTCCCACAGTGGTACAAGCTGGATGAGCTTTTTGAGCAGGAGCGGAACGTCAGGACCGCAATGACCAACAGGGCCGGTCTACTGGCTCTGATGTTGCACCAGACCATCCAGCACGACCCGGTGACGACTGATCTCCGTAGCAACAAGGATAGGTAGTTAGCCTGGGTGTGTTGCTGGATTTAGGTCTGCAGAATGCTGTACATAGCAACGTAATAATTGTGTGCTGAAGATGTAAACTTCTAGATTAACTACTGCTTTGATGACAGAAGATTTTCTACCATTTTAAAGTGTCTGTATGATAATATATTTTTCCTTAATAGTGGTAGAGGAGCCACATTTGAGTTTGGAAACTGCTGTTTTTGGTATGAACATTAGAAATAAAGCCTTGAAACAAGCTCTGTGTGTGTGTCAGGACTAATGTGTTTACACCAACATTACTCTTGTAGAATGTGTGTACATACACATATTCATACTTTTACACAGATATCATCACTCTTTTCTGAAAAAAAAATTTGGCAATTTTTTAACTTCATCTTGTAAATATATAATTCAAATTTTTGAATTACTACATTTGAGATTAGAAAAATGCATATCAAAGATTAAATTAGCAAAATTACCTGGAGTAACTGTTGTGGACTAAATAATTTGAATTTAAATTAATTAATGCAGAAGTATTCATACCTCTTCAACTTTTCCACATTTTGTCTAGTTATGATCACAAATCAGTTTAGTTTGGGAGGATTTTATGGAGAGGACTTGCACATAAGGAAGGAAACATTTCAAACATTTTTAATGTGCACCTACTTCCACATGCCTGGTGTGTTTGTGGTTGCATCGCGACAAAACGTAAAAAAAAAAAAAAAATACGTAGGATACTTTCCAGTGCACTGCAGCTTTAAACATCCAAAATCTATTATCTTACTTTACTTCCCTTCAAAACTTCAGTTTTATCCATTCCATTTATCTTTCTATAATTGTATTTTTTTATTCATAAAAGTACATTTTTAATAATTTTGATAGAAATTTCTGATGTTTTTGAGTGACAAAACACAGTGGCCCATCTCTAAAAACTTGCTGCTTCTTCAAGGAATTGCAGAGTGAAACTTAGTTTGGACTTAAAACAAATGCAGCAAATTTGTATTAAAACAACCCATGTCTCCTGTTTTAATTGTATGTACAGATAGCACTTTGTTTTATTATATGTAATCTGTATAATCCTCACTATGTTTTACTCATACCTCAGGTGCTATTCCACCTGACGTAGCTTTTCCTATACAGTAGAAAAGCTGAAAAACTAACAGACCTGAACGCAGCAACGGCTAGTATCAAAGAACACGTACCCAGGGCAAGATAACTCACCCCCCTTCTACTTGGGAATCTGCTGCCCTGAAAAGAGCATTGATTTTCTGTTACTCTTCTAGTACCTCGACAGAATTGTGAAATTTGATATTTTGATTTAAAACGTTACAAACTCGAAACTAATCATTAATATTCTGAAATAAAAACGTTCTTCTTAAAAATGTATTTCATACCTGTTCACCTGCAGAGAGGAGAACGCGGGCTTCGAGGGAGGTTATCTCTGTCGTACGTTCCTCTTTTGGTCCTCGAGCGTTTCCGTTGGTTGTGCTGGATGCATGGTGCAGGGCTAATGTAGCCCTGGCTCATAAACTGAAAGGAACCAACTTGTTGTAACAGAGTGCCATAAATTTGGGGAATAATAACCGAGAAGGTGTGTCGTTTTTATCTCTCCATTTCGGCAAAAATCTTTAACAGACTGACGACAAAAAACAGCTGATAACACATTAGTGGTTGATGAATATCAGCACAGCAAAGCACCACCAAACGGTGCTTATAGCTAACAGTGGCTAACGTCATCCCCGCTATTAGTAAATGTTTCTATCCTTCTGACGCACCAGTAGTTTTGTGTGACTGTTCGCTATATTGCGGGTTTTTGCCATAAATGGGTGACTCGGACAGTGCAGCCGAGAGTCGGTGCATTTTGTGCGGAACAGACGCTTACTTGTTTGTGCGGCTAACGTTGTGCTCGACGGCTAACAATAGCTGCATACTATTGCAAGCTAATTAACCGTTAACAAAACCTCCTTGTAGCCTTCCGTTGTGAACAATTTCTCATCAAAGCACGTGCTGACTTTACGTTATACTGGAATACAACCTTCTTCACCCTTATCTGAAACCACCTCCCCCGTTTTTTGTTTTTTTTACCCAAACCCCTTCAGGCTTAGGGGGGTGGAGGGGGGTCAACGTTAAAAACAGATCACTCTGAATGGGATGCCCGCGCAACTGTAGAAGAAATTGTTTATTTGCGGGAAGACTCATTGGATTCTCTGCTGCCCGTCCTTGGTGCACAGATGAGTGAAGAAGCAGCAGGAGAGAGTAAGCACCCTGCCAGTGAGGCAGTGGAGGAGGAGGAGGAGGACCAGGGGGAAGGCACCGTAGAGAGTCCCAAAACAGACAATCCCTCTGAGGAACCACCAGCACCCTCAGATGACCCCAAAGAGGCAGCCGAGATAAGCTTGGTCCCCCCAGTAGAGGCCAAAGAGGAGGAGGAGGAGGAGGAAGGTAAGCCTGCTGGCGAGCCTCCAATGGACTGGTTCGAGCCGCTTGAAGATGATGATGATGATCCAGATGAAGAAAGCCTGGCAGGAGAGACGGAGAGCATTGCAGGCAGCGAGAGAGCCACAAGACATCTCTATCAGTAGGTTCACGTTTCTTTTCTAAATTCCACGAAACACTAACTTGTTTTTGTTTATTCGTTTTCATGTGTCCCCCCCCCCCTCCTACTTCTTCTTCTTCTAGGATTTACGGGTATCGACGTAAGCGCGCTCATCCTGAAGAGGGATGGGTCGAGTGGCCGGTGCTCGGACAAGGTTGGAAGCGCAAAGAGGTTGTTCGACGCTCAGGCTCCAGCATCGGCCAGAAGGACGTGTATTATCTAAGGTACGTATTAGCTAGCAGCTACTTTTCTTTTAACTGTGTTTTTAAAAAAAAAATGAAAATACTAAAAGAAAGTCAGAACATAATGTTAATGACTCTTTGAAGCTGCAGTATGTAACTTTTAAAAAATGTATATGCACATTTGTTAAAACTGTCATTGTGTTTCATGACAAATCTGAAAAATTCCGGTTCTTCTGCCTTCTACCTATGCTAACTAGAAACAACCAATCAGAGCCAAGAGGTGGGTCTTACCGCCATCAGTCATGTCTCTGCTCTTATACAGCTTTTCCCGTCAGCGTAACCTGTTGTGAATGCTAGAGCTAGCTAGCATAGCCACCGATACGGTCATGTAACTGTGACTTATTTCGCTGCAATTAGCATATTTAGCAGTGCATTCACGACTTTGATTGACAGCCCACCTCCTGGCACCGATTGGTTGTTTTTAGAGCTGTATATTTCTTCAGACTCCTCTGGGATGAGGTGGAGGAGCTCAATGTTTTCACAGATTATCGGTCTCATACAATACTGTAACACATGGTATGTAAAACAAAATAATTTTTTAAAATAAAAGTTACACATTGTAGCTTTTGTAATCTTATACATACATACAGGGACTTGGTCTTTTTCAAAAAACGTGCCCTTCTGAAATTTTTTTTTTTTAACAGTGTACTGTGTGTTACCCAAGACAACAATATGGCTATTGATTTGAAGTAGATACATATACATATAATGTATAAGCTGTGCCTTTAAAAAAAAAAAATCTCACATTACCAAGGCAGCTGGTGGTTCCATGTTCTGGACAAGGTGCCCTTTTTTCCACTGGAGCACTTGCTCCCCAAAATATATTTGTGTGCCACTGCATGTACTATATATACACCCTCTTGGTTTAATTTTTAACAGCAATAGAACCCCTGAATGAAACTTTGCCAATCAAATTTCTTTTAATGTCTTTAATTGTGTTCCTTGGCAGTCCACGGGGTGATCGAGTGAGGAGCAGAGTAGAACTAGCTACGGTGCTCCAGGGAACCGACTTGACCCAGTTTGAATACAAGAGCGGCAAGTTCGTGGAAGGGGAAATCCCACCAGTGAGAGGTCGACCCAGAACGAAGGTATTAAAAACTTCTTTATTTATTTTTAACAGTTTTAAATTTATTAAAAAAAAAAAAAAACTACAACGTTTTGCTGCACTCCCGTATGTTTCAGAAACGCTATCGGGACCGGTCCTCCTCAGAGTCCAGCTGGATGGACAGAGGAGACGGGGCCGAGACTCCGGACTCTCACCACCGGCTGACCCCGAACATCACACCCAGGAACCTCCACAGCAACCAGACGAGCGTCTCGCTGAACAGCTCAACGGGGGAGTCAAAGCAGAGCCCCAACTCCGAGGAAAAGCAGTCGGAGGAAAAAATCCGGCTCCCTTTCCCCTCGTCGTCTCGTCCGCTCTCTTTGCCTTCAATCAAGGGAGAATTCGGATCGGAAGAGAGCACCCTGTAAGTAGGCCTGTCACGATAATGAATTCTTTTGCTGGATGATAAATCGTCACCAGAAGTTTTTGCGATAAACGATAACATTGTTGTTTTGAGACAATATTTTTCAAGTAATGTAACGGCATAATAATGCAAGAAGACATTCTCAAAGATCAGTCAACTTTAAATACGAATGAATATTTAACACTGGAACTGGAAAATATCCAAAACTAATAAACAAAACGCTACATAATTGAATTATGAAGCAGTTATAAACAAAATTGTATTAAAAAAAAAAAGGTCTAGTTGAGACCAAAGCACCAGACTGAAGACTTTTGT